AATTTATTGAGACAAACAACAAATATTTTTTGTTTTAACAGTCAAACACACAATAAAAATTAAACAAATATCTAATTTCTCATGTTTTAAATGCATAAATAGGTTTTAAGGAAACTTTTGTCTTGTCTCCCGAGGCCACAGGAGGGCGCAATGAGCAAAATAATGCAGCACATTTAAATGTTCAACGCAAGGAAATAACTGTCTATAAAAAAACGTGCATTACGTCTAAATTTACTCATATAAATCAAATATAATTTCGTAAATTGCATAAACAATTATGAACAAAACAGCATCATGTATTTATGCATTGCTTAAAACAAAGAGCCAAATTGCCCATCACACAGATTGCCTTTAAAAAAATATGAGATGCAGTGAAAAGGAATTAACCTCCACAAATTCGCGATGTGTTTTCTAAAAGTTTAAACTTTTAACTTTGCATGGCTACATCTCTTGTGTGAGACGCAAGTGCAGCAGTCATATTTGTCCGTCTAGAAAATGCACTGAATATGCATTCTGTGTGAATAGCTTGGTTTCGGTTTTAACCTAATCTAGATCTCCGCATTGAGCTACTATATTTCTCTAATACTAACAAAACATTAAAATGCAACAACGTCACTTACATCATTATCACCGCATCTCACACGCCACTGATGACGCTCCCTGACGCACTCCTAACGTTCAAATGCAAATGTTTATTTTAAATTCGACTAATATAAATTTTTTTACTCTCAATCTCCTCATCACAGGCAGGCACAGCACTCATGTTCGTGTTTGTGTTTGCTGTCTGCGTCACTCATAGCACGTGCCTATATCGTGTGCTATATTGAACATTTTTGTATATCGTTATCAAAGAAGGTGTACCGTCGATAAATATCGATACCGTTTTCTCACCCAGGCCTACATTAAACATAGCTAAAACTAAACAAAGCCCATTTTAAATGGCAAATAATTGCATGTGCTCATAAGTCCCCATGCTTTAACCAAAAACAAAAATTATTCAAGTGCAAGGGATTATGGGTAATCGGTGATCAAACTCAGCATGGTAGTTTGACCAAAGTTGACATTGTAAGTTCTTGCTGTTTAATATTTTAAGTTGCTCATAGTAAATGTCCTAAAAGTTGACTTTAGTATTTTATGTAGTGTCAACTTTTTCTACAGTCTGTCAACTATCAAAATAGAGTTTTCTGACAGAATGGAAGTTGCAATTCTTACAGTGTACTTGTCCTGTCATCCGTTACTCAATGCCTTCACTGTGTAAAAATACTACCAAAATGCTATTGCAACCCATGATACTAATGTAATTTAATATGTTTGCAAATAAGACCGAACTTGATGTTATTCATTGGGAGTTGGAAGAAAGTGGCTGTAACATTGCAAAATGGAGCCAAGTGGTTTGAGAGAAAAGGTTGAGAAGAGACATTTGTGAAATCAACTGAAAAGGAAAGGCATTTCAGATGCAAAGCAAGTGTTCCAGACTTGATGCAAGCATTCCATTAGAATGCATCGTTTCGATGCAAGGCTTGCCACAGCTCACTTAATGTGAATAGATCTTGAGGTCCTCTGTGATCCTGCTCTGTCAGGGGTTGTTCACTAGGGGGCACTGAAGTTCTGTGCTTTTTCTCCTTCCAGTCCTCTATTCCAGTCATTAATCTCTGTCGTATGTTGGCCTACAGCGCATGGACACCTTCCAGCCCCTTAAATGTTCTGGATGTTCCTCCTAACTCCCTGATGGCCTTTGTTTGTTTGTGTTCTGCTTCTATCCTCATCCCACGTTTATGGGATGTCTCGCAAAGACTCTTTTGTTCGTGATTTCAACTCTTCCCTTGTACTGATCAAAACTCTTGACAGGCATTGGAGCTGACGCACAGGGGTTAACGCACTTCAACACGTGTTTATCTTTTCCGTAGTAGAGGGAATGCTAACAACATCTTGCCCAAGCACGCACAAACGTTGACACAATTCTTGCACACATTCACACCCTCTCTATTGCTGCCCGGTTGACCGTGACCTCTGATCCCTGGCCACTGCAGGACGGGGCGGGTGGGCCGTGATGGGACCTCCTGCTGCGGCGACAACTGCTCTGCGTCAACTCCCTAATCCCATCCAAACCAGTGGAGCGCGAGCTGTTGCAAGAATATCCTGATGCATTCTGGGATTGAATGCAGAGAGGTCACGGATGGAGTGAGGAATGACTAAGCAGGAGTGGCACTGACCTCGTTGAAAAACAATAATGGCTCACTCGTGAGATCATGGTTTGTTATGATTAATCGGTGTGCTGATTGGACTTAATTGGAGAATCGAGCGGGCCGTAATGACACAAGCCAGTGTGTTGGACTACCTCACACTTCAAAGAGCCCATGTGCTCCCAGGTCAGCTGACCGTGGCATTACCCTAGGATTTTCTAAAGAGACGCTGAATATTTAGAGGTCATTGAAACTCCGTATAATCGCAATGAAATAACGCTGGCTCTTCGGTCTGGATATATTCCCCATAGTCAGGACCGTTTACTTTCTGGATAACCCTGCCGCCAGCTTGACCGACATCTCGATGTGTTTGTCTTTAGTTTTATGTGTTTGTATGGCAGGCATCTTCATCCTGCGGGTCACTCGGCTATTGCTTGTTGTTTTGTTCAATTTCTCTTCCTGTGTTCAAGTGTTTTTGTGAGTCTTGTGATTTGTGCGGTGACATGTACTTGTCAAACATTTTGACAGGCCGTTCTCTGTTATGACTTTTTGGGTCTTTTTGTTTACGATCTGTGTGTACTGTGGCTATGTTCTGTATAGCATACTATCTCACTATTTCTGCAGCACTGAATGCGTGTACTGTGCACAGTATGCAAATTTTCTTTTTGCACGGAAGACTGACTGCATTCTCCAAAATGCAAGGTGCACCCATCTCACATACTTCTGCGCTATTCTTTGCTATGTATTCACATGCTTTTAAAAAGAAAATGAATATTGTACCTTTCTAAATGTCAGAGTACATAGTTAAGTGTAAGGCTCTAAAACTACCATTCAAAAGTTTATTTAATCAAAAATACAGTAAAAACAGTAATATTGTGAAAAATTATGAACTTCTTAACTGTCTATTTGAATATATTTTAAAATGTAATTTATTCCTGTGATGCAAAGCTGAATTTTCAGCATCAGTCTTCAGTATCACATGATCCTTCAGAAATCATTCTAACATGCTGATTTCTTATTATTATCACTGTTGAAAACAGTGCTGCTTAGTATTTTTATGGAAATACTTTTTTTAGTTTAAAAGAACAACATTTATTTAAAGATTTTTGTTACAAAGTAAAATTATTTAGTCACTTTTGATCATTTTAATGCATACTTTCTGAATAAAAATATAAATGTATTTTTTAAAAACGAATTATACCAAACTTTTGAACAGTAGTGTAATTTGGGACACATTTGCTTTAAACATACAAAAACATATTGGAGTATGTTTTCCCAAGAAAACACTGTCAGTCTATCTATCTCAAAATTTCATGTTTGTTTCTTTGAAATAATTTTCACTCAAAAATTGCTAGCGATTTTCACAAATAATAAAAATGTAAATCATGCGCCACTTTTTTTTTTGTGTGTGTGTACCTAAAACAAGAGAGTTGTATAATCTTTAATTTGTTTATCAAACACATTTGTTTATCAAATTTGAGTTTTAGTAGCTGTGCTCTTCCGAATTCATTAATGTAAGTGGGGTTTGTTTGTTTGTGTTTCTTGGATTGGATTGCTTTTCAAACATGCTTTACATTTAGATTTGTTGTTTTGCGCAACTATAAAAAATGAATTGATCTGCTTCTTGCCATTTAAAACAATGATTACGATCAAAACAAAGCACTCAGAGTAATGTTTTCGTTGGTCTATTTGGACTAGATCAAAGGAGTCAAATCAGAGTTTGAAAACGAATGATACACATCTTAGTTAAACACTGAAAAGAAACAAAACGAAAGTCTTTAAACCATTGTATAAAACATATTTTGACAAGTAATGACTTCAGTTGCACTCAAGTTTATAAACAAGGCTAGCATCTGATACCATCTTCTGGCTTAGGTAATTTCGTTTGGACTCTTTAAACATGTGCCTTTTTTGTAGTAACTTGTTTGACTGGTTTCCTCCGCAAAGAAGATACTTTTGTTAGTTTGTGTTTGCTTGGTCTTATCAGAATATGATCAGAGTTTGCTTGGTCCCGAGACTTTTACTGGCTGACCTCAGTCATCTAGTGCACAATACAAAAAAAAAAAAAAAAAAGGTTGTTTCCTGATTTCATGATCTGAATGTTCTTTGTGTTACATAAACAAATTAGCTGAATAAATAGTGTGTGTGTGTGCTCAGAGTTTGTGGTTATGATGGCCCTATACAACACACTCAAGCGCATTACACATAATATGTGAATTTATATCAGTTTAAATTCATTTGTGAATGTAAGTAATTACAAACGAGCGGTTAAAGATGGTTTAAGCTCGACAGGCTGCATTTATTGGACATCTTGGAAGTGTTTTGCCTGGAAGACTCTAATCCATACTGAAGGTATGCAGGGTTGTGTTGAGCTTAACTGTAACCACATTTGCCCATGTCAGAGCTCGTGTGTGTGTGTGTGTGTGTGTGTGTGTTGCTAGCATGCAGCATGTGGCCAGGTTGCAGACATAGCTGACCCACCTTGTTACCATGTCAGCGCCCTGGCCTAAGTTCAGACCAGACTGTGTGCATTAGCGGTTGAAACAGGATGTGGTGTGTTTGTGTATGTGTGTATTTCACATGGCTGAAGTCACAACATGTGTGTTTGAAACATTGGCTCTTGAGCTAAAGTTAGCCCTGTATGGGCTGTTTCAGTTAGACATGAAGAAAAAAAACAAAACATTTTATTAGATGGTCTATCTTAAACACAGAGGCTTAGCTAAATAAAGATACGTTTATGTGTGTCACACACGCATACACTTTCACTGTCTGTCTTAACACATATGCATTTGTCTCGAGTGAAATTCCCAGGGTTTATTCCAGCCGCTCTGCTTTCTAAGGAATAAACAAGCAGGGAGCCGCGTGTCCCTGCAGCGCTCCATCAGAGGCTGCGCTAATGAGGGCTTTATAGAGCTGTAAAGAGCGCAGACTTTAGGAAGTGGTTTACAAACCAGACCTTTAAAGGTTGCAGTCTCTTTCTCTCCTCTCCTCTCCTTGTGTCACTTAGGCTCTGTTCCAAAATCTAGTGAGCTGCCTATGTAGGCAGCATGCTGCTGACACAAAGGGTGTTTCAAAAAAGAAATACCTTCTTTTGGCAGAATTGCACGTATCCATAGCAGAGGAAACAATCCCATAATGCACTGTGATGTGAAATGACAATTACAGTAGTTTTTCGTTGTAATATTTGAGTATTTTTACCCTATAAAGCCTGATATGCAGTTGGTCAGAAAATTTTAATTTTTGACTGAAACCTCAATGCATTATTCTTGATAACTATATTTATTTATACCATACATTTTATAACACACCTCTGCATGGCTTGAGCGTCTTTTATCTTATTTTCACAAAGGTTTTACTTTTCTACAGTACGATGATGGTTCTGAATGTGCTGTGAGTCTACTGTTGCTTTAGTAGGCAATGCAAGATTGATTGAAAGATAAACCGCAGCATCCTTATTTCACTGTTGTTGTTTACATTGTGGTTAGGCAGACAGTTTACTACTTGCATTCAGTTTAACGGCATTAACAACAGGTCAAAGAGGGCAAGCTTTCGACTGAACTGCACACATGCATTTGAAACATTTTCATCATGCTCTTGCTCCGTCTATGCAATAAATGCAAATTTTTGGAGGAGCAGGTTTTTCTAACATATTTAATTCAACTACTCTGGTAATTTCAATGTTATGACCTATTTCAGGGTGGCCAAAATTACACTTGTAAATCAATAAGAGCTACAATTAAATATGAGGATACATATTCATGAAGATGCATGTTAAACCCATATTCGCACCCTTATAGCATGCAAATATTTCTGCCCTTTATCATTCATGTGATTCAGACTGAAGCCGCCATTCAGGTGTAATAACAGACCTTTGTTTTCAGCTAAAAAAAAAAAAAAAAAAAAATACAGAGCTGTTAAACACCATAAACTAAGAATAGGCACTCTAGTCTGCAAAATACTGTTAAAATAAAAGTCTCACTTATTAAACTTATCAGCCAAACAGAAAAACTGGTTACCAATTGATGTCAGATTAATGTCATTCATTCGTCATTTCTTTTCTGATCTAATCTGCAATCCTACACATACTTTAACCTTAATTTCTCTCACTTTTCTCTTAACAGAATGACCGGCCGAGAGTTTTTCACTCGTTTTCCTGCCCTCTATCCCTTCCTCCTCAGTCAGCTACAGGAAGCTGCAGCCTCTGTGAACAGGTGAGAATTTCCCAACAAAAGGCCCCCTATAATATTACAGGACCCCGCAATGTGTGTGCGATTTGCGTCGGATGTTGTTAAAGAGCTGAACGATCCCAACGTTCGCTAAACGGACCCAGTTCTTCTTCTCACCCTTCTTTAATTTCTCAGAGGCCCTTATTTAAGATCGTTTAAGTGCCCCATCAAGCCTCTTTAGACCTATTAAGCATTTTGACCACACTGATGGACAGATTCCTAGCTGAGATGCCTCAGATAAGTAAACCGCTTGTGGGAGTTTCGGCCATGTTGGATCCAGTCCTCGCTCTCCGGCGGCTGTGAGAACGTTAGTCTCTTAACTCCCTCAAATAATTTCTCCACAGACTGATGCGCCACTCTTCCAAATAGCACTTGCATTGTGCAAGAGGCCTTTGAGCCAATATTATCTTAATATGTATCAAATTACTTTGATGCGTTTTCAGTCTGGCGTTCTCTCCTTTTAGCTAAGAGTGGTCTGACTCTTTCCCACGGCCTAGTCTTTGCATCCTGCTTGCCAAGCTAGGCTCTGCAGCACTCGTATTTTATACCGCCTATAAATTATTTAGCATATAAATAAGGGTAGAGAGAAGTGCGAATAGGTTTGCACCACCCACCTTTACCAAATATGAAAAGAGCATCATGGGATGTCTAGGGGGGAGTTTGCCATTTAGTGTGATTTGAGAAGTTTTTCCTATTGAAGTTCAATCCAGAATGTTTCTTTTATCTGGAAAGCAGGTTGTAAAAAGCATATGGGAACGCTAGAATACGGTTCATCGCCCTCCTCGCAATTTGTAAACCGGTTTGCGATATGAAGATTTCACGAGCACGGATGAAATCCTGATGAATGATTTGCCTCAGCTTGAGGGGTTTATAACAATTTTAAACGTTTAACATGGGAAATGAGTGCCGAGAGGGTTCGGTTGGACATGCACCAGAGATGAAATGAGATGAAAAGACTGGGGCAAGTGGAGCCAAGACTGAAACTTGCTTTGCTAATCTCACATTCTCTTCCAGGCTTATCACCTCTTCACCCTCGCTGAACTTTTTCTGCTTATTTTAACGTCTTTTTCCATTCCTCTGATTTGTCATATTTCATTGGTTCGTTCTCGCACTTCCCTTCCAGCTTTTTCTTGAATGTGCATGATGTTTAACACTTTAATCTCCCTGGGCTTGGTGATGATCTCAAGTTCTTGGCTGTCCCACACTGTGCCTGACTGAAATCAGACTCTAAACGCATTACCCGGGCCCTGATTAGCAAAATAGCATTTCCTGCGCTCTGGCCCGGGGTCTATGGGCTCATGGGACCCCTTGGTGGTGGGGAGTTTGGCCATGTTTGATGTAATAATGACAAGCGTATCCATAGCTGGCAGCTGTGCCGTGGAAAGCGCATGGCCTTTAGAGAACAGAACAGGTTTTGGCCCTTTCACAGTAATAGAAAGATATGAGTAATTTACATTTTGTGTGTTTTTCTGTCTGTGGTTTTTTTTTTTTTTTTTTTTCATGTGTTTGCTCTGGCTTAAGTCTTGGGTTTCCACTGGACTGTCAGAT